GCCTTGACCTCCAAAGTGCTTGGATTACAGGCGTGAGCCACCACGGCTGGCCCAATTTTTGTATTTTTAGTAGAGATGGGGGTTTCACCACGTTGGTCAGGCTGGTCTCGAACTCCTGACCTCAGGCGATATGACTGCCTCGGCCTTCCAAAGTGCTGGGATTGGAGGCATGAACCACTGCGCCCAGACTCACACTTCTTAAAAAAAGGTATGTGCTTACTCTGGGCGTCGGGACTCCCGTCCTGTCCGTGGGCCCTGCCCAGGCGGCTGCCCATGACCTGCCTGGCACGGGGAACGGAAAACCAGAAGGAGCAAGATGAGTTCAGTTCGCCATGGGGCTGTTTGGAAAAACCCAGGAGAAGCCACCCATAGAACTGGTCAGTGAATGGTCATTGAAGATAAGAAAGGAAATGAGAGTTGTTGACAGGCAAAAAAGGGATATCCAAAGAGAAGAAGAAAAAGTCAAACGATCTGTGAAAGATGCAGCCAAGAAGGGCCAGAAGGATGTCTGTATAGTTCTGGCCCAGGAGATGATCAGGTCAAAGAAGGCCATGAGCAAGCTGTATGCATCCAAAGCACACATGAACTTGGTGCTCATGGGGATGAAGAACTAGCTCGTGGTCTTGCAGGTGGCTGGTTCCCTGCAGAAGAGCACAGAAGTGATGAAGGCCACGCAAAGTCTTGTGAAGATTCCAGAAATTCAGGCCACCAGTGGGGAGCTGTCCAAAGAAATGATGAAGGCTGGGATCATAGAGGAGATGTTAGAGGACACTTTTGAAAGCATGGATGATCAGGAAGAAATGGAGGAAGAGGCAGAAATGAAAACTGACAAAATTCTATTTGAAATTACAGCAGGGGCCTTGGGCAAAGCACCCAGTAAAGTGACTTATGCCCTTCCAGAGCCAGAACCTTCAGGAGTGATGGCTGCCTCAGAGGATGAGGAGGAGGAATCAGCTCTGAAGGCCATGCAGTCCTGGCTGGCCACACTCCGAAGCTAGGGGCTGCCTACCTGCTGGGTGTGCACACACTCCTCTGAAGAGCTGCCATTTTCTGTGTCTCACCTCTGTTGTGAGGACTACCATTTTGGAGAAGGTTCTGTTTCTTTTCACTCTCTGCCCAGGTTTGGGATCACAAAGGGATTGTTCTTATAAAGGTTGTGTAAATAAATGCATCATTTTTAGGAGAGAAAAAAAAAGGTATGTGTTATTTTGAATAGGAGATGGTCAAGTTTTCTGAATAAATGTCTTGGAAAAAGATTGGTGATACGTGAGGCTTTTAAATTCCCTTTCTCTTTCTTTGCACAGGCAACTAAAGTAAATATGGAAAAAGCTGTATAGCAATGGAAACAATCAACAAAGTGAGGGGACAACCCACAGAATGGGAAAAAATATTTGCAGACTACCCATCTGACAAGGGATTAATAACCAGAATTTATAAGGAGTTCAAACAACTCAATAGGGAAAATCTAATACTCCGATTAAAAATGGGCAAAATATCTGAATAGACTTTTTAAGATTTTTTTTTTTT